AAAAAAAAAAAAAAAAAAAAAAAAGAAGGAGGTTGTTTCCCTGGCTCGGCATCACATCCAGGTGGACAAGCCACTTGTCAGGAAGAAGCCAGCTAGTGAAGCTGAGTTGGCTGTGAGGAAGGTCGGGTCCTGCAGCCCAGCTGCAGCACAGGTTCCCTCCCAGGTGCCCAGCATCTATCACTTTCATCTGTTCCTTGGGGATCCATCCTCCGCCTCAGAGACTCATTATATTACTAACAGGATTGGACAGAGGGCTTTCCAAAGCAATGGCCTAGGACAGATTCAGTGAAAAGGACACAGATTTGGAGTCTGACTGACAAGGCTTTGATTTCTGTCTGTGAGCCTCACTCAGGGATCTCATACAAGTCACCTCATGTCGGAGAGCTGTGGTTCTCTCCTTGTTGAATAGGAGTACTGGCCCTTGTTTTGCCCAGCTGCAGTGAAGGTTTCCATTGTTCCTGGAAATCCCAGTTTGGGGTGTTGTGGGTCTTAGGCCACTTACTCTTCCCGAGTCAGTCCTGCCAACAACCTGAACTGTAACTCTTCCTGAATTTTGGTGTGTGCACTAGGAAGATGATGAAAAGCTGCCTCTTTCAAAGTCTTGTTTATCCTGTTTTTTTGTTTTCCCAGGAAGACACGGAAAAAGCAGACTAGCCATAATTTTTGCGTAAGCATATCTTTAGGAAGACAAACCCAATCTCCAAATAATACATTGTGAGCAGTCATTTCCAGACTAAATGTTGACCTTGGCAGTTGGCAGTGAAGTTTTTTTCTTTTTAATGAAATGAAATGAATGAATGAATGAATGGCTATTTAAGGTCTGCTTTGAAGGGGATCCACCATGTTTTAGGAGTATTCCCAGCTCTCTTGGGATGGCTCATTGTCGTTTTTTGGGCTAGTTTTGAAGGCCAGAATCAATGTACTGAGTCCAACATCCGTGTCTGCAGTAAATTCCCTTCAGAAATGGAGATGCGGGATCATTTTTTCAGCTGTTCTGCAGACCCTCAGGGAGGTCACTTTGTGTCTATGTCCTGGCCCACATCCCACTTCCTTGCTTTGTTTGGTTTTTGTGAAACCTTAGAAAGAGGTATCCCAGGGAAATGAGAAAAAACAATACCATGAGGCCAGAGAGCCCTGCTCTATCATGTCCCAGGGTGTGCCATGCTTCGGAGGTAAAAACCTCCTGGTGCCAAGGAAAGGGTGGTGAATTTAGGCCCCAAAAAGTGGCACTGAGCTCTACCTCCCTCCTGGCCACCTAAATTTGGACAAATCGTTTCTCTTCCAAAGCCTTATTGCTCTGCACACTATGTGGGATGGTAACAAAGCCATCTCAGAGCTGGTGGAACGATTAAATGTAATAGTGAAGGCAAACAATCTTAGAATACAGTGCTAAAAACTTCATGTGGTTAAGATTCTTGCTTTGAGTTAGGTTGAATGTGCCACTATCCTTCCCTAGAATGAGGAGGGGCCCGTGACTTGGCCAATATGAACAGAAATGCCCCCATCATTTCTAAGGGGAACTTGAAAATCGCATTAGCAATTCCCAGGTGCTGGTTTCTCTGCTCTTTTTTTTTTTTTTTTTTTTTTTTTTCTTCCGGTACCAGGAATCGATCTCACAACCTTGCACTTACCAGGCAGGCACCATCCCGCTGAGCTAAATCCCCAGCTCCTCTCTGCCCTTTTGATTAGAGGAAGTATTGTGAAAATGGGAGCCAAGGACTGGGGTGATTAGAATAACTACAGCCGATAGGCCCCTGAAAGTGGGAGACTGATTGTCACTGTAGCAAAACCTAGCCTGGCCTCACCAATACACTGGATGATTACTTCTTTTAAGTGGTTTAATAGAAAAACAACAAAACACACGCCAAAACACCCCCACATACACGAGAAGACTGGACACAACAGTCTTGAGGAGAGCCCAGGGAGACCCTGCTCTGGCTGCTACTTGCTCTTGGGAAGGGGGCGGTAGACCCCGACGACCACCGCGTGGTCCCTCTCATAGGGCTCCAGGGTGAGCTGCTCTTGTGGCTTCAAGTTCTCCTGCTGCAGCTTCTTCACCTCCGAAGCAAACACAGCCTCTGCGGACGCAGTGGAGTCGATGCAGTTGGCCTTGATGGAAATGAGAAAGTGGCCACCGTTGCGCAGGAAAGTGTGCGCGTTGAGAGCCAGGATGCGCGACTGGTCCGGCTGGGCCACGTCGGCGAAGATCACGTCCACCATCCCGATGAGCATGCGGTACCTGAGCGGATGCCGGGCATCTTCCAGAACCGGGATGATGTTGGTTCGCATTTTGGCCACATTGACCAGATCGCGGCCAGCGCGGTGCGAAAACTCCACAGCGTAGACCAGGCCGTCCGGGCCGACGATGTCAGAGACGTGGGAGACGGTGGTCCCGGAGGCGGCCCCCAGGTACAGCACTTTGGACTTGGGCTTGATGTGGATCTGGTCGACCCCTCCCAGGATGGCCGCGGCCAGCTTGGAGCGGAAGGGGTTCCACGTGCGGTACTCCTGCTTCACGCCGTTCTCGGTCACGGTGACGCGCCGCTCGCCGTACACCGAGAGGCCGGGCACCATGTTCAGCGTGACCAGCGCGTCCTCCCCGCCGCGGTAGATGAACACGCCCTCGTGCCGGTGCGGCTCCACGGACACCGCGCTGGCGCCCTTCCTGCGGCGGCTCTTGCTCTTGGCCGGGCCCCCGCGCCGCTGGCCGCCGCCTCG